CGCGCACGAGCATAGACTCTCGGGAGGGGGTCTAATCTCTCGGCTCGCTCGAGATCTTCGCTGACACACCTTGAGGAAATTCTTTCCCCTCTGGTCCAGGAGGTAAGGTACAACGTTGAGCGATTCATATTCATATATTTCCAAATCGACAGAATGTTTTCAGGTCCATGGCATGTATCGTGGTCGTGCCGAGTGTCAGAAGGCCGTGTCCAGAGCCGCCATACTCGTGGAAATATCTGGATCGGCACGACATGCTTCCAGAAATTCCGAGAGCGTCACCACTCCATCCTTGTTCCCGTCCATCTTCTGCAACAATTGCAAATATATGTATATATATATTGTTTTTCGAATTTACGAACGTGAAACGAAGTGAAAGTAAAATAAAGAAAATTATTTTGAAATAAATAATATAATAATTAATAGATAATAATCTCGAAGAATTTTCATATATATTTACATTTATAGAACGAGCTAGTTTTCGTCACTAATCTCGCATAATTATAGAAATGCATCTAGGCAATAATAACGATTCGTGAATAGCCCATTCAAATCGGGCTTATCAGATACCCTTTCATTATCGAGTAGTTCTAATTACTGTGGATTCATTCACGTAAATTTATCGGTTTCGACCAGTCCTTTAGAGTGATAATATGGTCGAAAGTCGACTATCGTATTGACGCGATATACAAATGTTTAGGCGTACATGTGAGTACGCCTATATATGTCAAAATTTAGTTTGGAGTAGTATGGTATCGAATCAATCCTCCAACCAATCCTCCATCTAAGCCATTATCGATAATCAACGATTCCATTTATAGCATTTGAAATTCTGATGTAAATTTTACTAGATATATTTACCAGAAAATTAAATACTTTTTGATATTACGACAAAATTATGATAGAATTTTATTTTAACAATTGATATACTTAAATTTATCAGATATATATTTGGAAAATATTATAACATTTCTCGATAGTACGACAAAATTATGACAGAATTTTATTATTTTGACAATTGAAAGGAATTGAAAAATATTCAGGAAATGTGCGAATAACTGATTTTAATTTTATTTTTACACGATTGAAACCGCTTGACACTGTTTTCAAATACAACACGGAGTCCGTTTGATCATGTATCATGATCTGTCTGACTGTGCATAAAGAGCTGTTGAAAGTTCTAGCAATTGGTTTTTAGAAACAATGAATCTGATTCGAGCGCGACCCCTTCTTTACGACCCGTACGTTGTTCCATTTTAATTAAAAGTCTATGCGAGATAACGAACCGTGTGTGGCGTGGTTTGCATCAGTTACATCCCTACTTTCTCCCTGATTAATTAGCATCGATTGAATTCACCACGTTCCAAGGCATCTTTGCCATTTGTTCAAATTCTCTGTCGCGTGTGAGAAGAGGGAAAAAAAAAAAAAAAAAAAAA